ATGTTAGTTTTAATAAAAGTATATGGATTTGTAAAACAAGTAAAACATTAATTTATTATTATTATATATTATATATTTTTAACTCTTAAATTAAAGAAAATTATGTATAATCAATGAAAATCAATAATAAAATATAGGCAGGCAACAGTGTTTACTGGAAAATGTATGAGAAGTTGCCTAAGACTAATAAGTTGTTATTGAAGACCTAGCCTGTTCTGTCAAAATAAAAAAATACCATTTAATAATAGCATGAAGTTAAAATGTATAAAAAAGGATCGCTATTTATATTTTCATTTTTGTTCGAAAGAAAACATAGAATGAATGATTGAAACTGGTTTCTCATGAGTAAGTCACAAAATTACATTCCATCCACATATTATAATCAAAGGCAGAAATCTTGAAATCTAGTCCTTGCTGAATGAACATTTAAGAATAAAGGGACATTAAAGAACATCGTAAAATGATAATTTATTGTTTATTTAAAACCTTTCAAGTTTCTGATGTCTACTATTTACAGCATTACTGTTATTATTACAAAAATAAAGGTAATTTTTCTTCTCATTGTACATCTGTCCATTTATTTCTTTGATTCAATTTCCACTTTGCTACTGAAATTTTTTATATAAGTTTCACTGTTTTTTTGCTAGTATTTGTACAATTGTCAACACAGCAACTCCAGTTGCTTATTGTATTGTTTGTACCTACTTTTTTGAAAAAAAGTAAAATGTATACGTGTATTTGATATGCCAAAATTACAAAATATCGCCCTAAAATGCACGAATTATCCGCAGCTAGCGCTAGTATCGCTTTTGCTTCCCTTTCCATGACTTCGCACGGAGCGAAAACCAGCCCTGTCCGTTATTAAATATTAAACCTATAATAGAATCAAGGATGCGAGTTGCTGTCAACATAAATGAATATACAAGCACCATGCATAGTCCATTTGAAATAGTTAGTGAAAATAGTCGATTTATTTGGTTTTGATTGGTTCTAACGATAACGTAAATGGCGCTGTGATTGGCTAAAATGTCAAAGTTGACAAGCGAGGGAAATCTATTTAATCTCTTCTTCAATAGACTACTACCATATTTTTTTGGATAAATTACTATAAGTTATAAATATATCAAAGTTTTCCTATATACCAATTTGTTTCAAATGTTTTTTGCTTTATGCAGTGAATCTTAAAAATGTTCAAGTACTCGGGTGCAGCTTTTCTGTCGCCCTAAGATATCGGCGATATCTCAGCAAAATCAGTACCAGCCTTTGTACGAATTTCTGCGGTTACCCGCACCTCTAAGACATACCTAAAAGTATTTTGCTGTGTAACGAATAAGAGCACCTACCTTGAATATAATAAACATAAATAAAAAAATAAAATATACAGGTATGGTTTCTGGTCTTGCGGTAAATTATGTTATATAGATATGATATTTCAATTCTTGGAACCGCTGTTACAACCACCAATGTCAAATTTTATGACATCACGTGACCCGAACATGCTTTAAAACTTTTAATAATTTATTTTATAACATATTTAAATGAGTGCTGTTATCTATAATTCTGTTGATGTTCTAAATATAGGTATAATAATAAAAATATACAAAGTCGTCAAGAGTTTAGACTTCTACCAATTAGCCAATCCAAGAAAATACTAATACATAAAAGTAGGATCTTTTAGACAAATCAACTATAAACGGGTCTAAAGCTCACAAATTTGCCGTAATTTACAATAAAAATAGTCAAACTCTAATAAAAAGAGTTAGGGCAACAAATTTGTTTGCCACATACAGTGTGTAACTGCCAATTGGAATAAACTTAGTAGCTCAAATACTGTGCTGTAATGATAAAATGTCTCGGAATTTTAAGTACAAATAAGTACCTTTTTTAGAAGGCATAAATCTTCTGGAGACTTCTTAGAAAGTATGGCTCCCAGTGAAGTATATAGAGAAGCAGGGCCGGCCATAGACATTTTGGCGATCCGGGCGAAACCTTAATTTTGCGCCTTCCCCTTCCCCGTTTTTTTTAAGTAAATCTCATGCGACCATATCAGACAGTCAAGAAAACATTGAAAAAAAAAATAAAAAAAAAACGTTTTATTAAAAACTCAATCATCAGATAACAAGATAAGCAATGTAGCACTTAAGGCAAAATAGCAAAAATTAAAATGTGGTAATGCTAACTAAACTAATATCCCATATAATAAATAAATTCTAACTAACCAAAGTAATTAAAATGCCCTTTTTCTAACTTTTCTTTCCGCAAACTCACGAACTAGTGATTTCAAGTCTAATTTGTCACTAATTTGGTTTTCTATAGCTATCATTGCCAATCCATTGAGACGATTTTGCGTCTGCATCGTTCTGAGATAATTTTTTATTATTTTTAGTTTTGAAAAGCTTCTTTCCCCTGAAGCCACTGTGACTGGCGATGTAAGTAGAATTCTTAATGCTATGCTGAGGTTTGGTGCGAATTTAAGTGTAGCGATAAACTTGAGAACTTCAACATGGGTTTCCTTTTTTGTTAATAATAACTAAACAATGCTTATTACATCGGCTAGTTCCAGGGCGTTAAGATCGCTTGAATTTCCATCAGTTAAAACTACTTCCAAATCTTTGCAATGAGCCAGTAGCTCATTTCTGGGCATGTCTTTTAGACCAAAAATATTATACAAAAAGCAGAAATAAGTACTGTATTTATATTTTTGTTTGAGGTCTTGAACGGGTTCATCCGGGCCCTTATACAAAAACGTTCTTGTTTTGCTTCTGACACGATGACGTGGTGTGGTGGTTTCTAAATTAGCTTCCACGTCAATCTCTGAAGCAAGCTCGGTTGCTTCTAAAATGATGATTTCAAAAGCTTCATCTGATCTCAGGTTTTCAAAGAAGAGTTTGCAGTTGCTAAGCATATCAATAGCTTGTGACATATTAAAATTTACAGTTTGCAAAAGTTTGCTGATGGGGTTAATATGACTCAGATCACAACAGAGCATATAAATTTGAACTGCTTCAAATTATTTAATAATCTCTGATCATATTATCGATTTGTGAATCTTCATATATGCTGTACAAAGTATCGTGAATTGGACCAATTTGAAACCGCAGAGCTTTTAATGAGTCGACTCGACTTTCCCATCGCGTATCACTCAATGGTTTTAGGGTTAAGTATCAATATATTTCAGTAATATTGCCCAACGAAAAGAAGTGGAAGAAAAAAAATGTATATAACTTTTGAACAATATTGAAGAAGTTGGCTACCTCAAACGAGGATTTTTCCATATCGTTTACAACCAAATTTAGCGAATGGCTGCTACATGGAACATAAAATGCTCTGGGGTTTATATTTCTGATTCTTGTTTGTACTCCCGACTTTTCTCCTCTCATATTAGAACCTTTGTCATACCCTTGACCGCGCATGTTTTCTACTTTAAGCCTATTTTTCTCTAGCTCTTCTATTAAAACCTCCGACAATTTCTTAGATGTTGATCTCTCAATGGGTAGAAAACCCAAAAAATGTTCGTTGATATTAACTTGAACTTAATAATAATAATAATAATAATAATAATAATAATAAATATCTTTATTAACCAACAAAATACAAGTAAATTAAAATAGAATATTCACTATAGTACCTATATACATAAAAAATAAGAAAAAGGCAAACGTTGGTTAAAGGGCGCAAAATCAGCTAGGCTGCTCTTCCTTAAGAACTTCAGACTCTGATTCCTGTATGGAGACAAATCTTACCACAAATGTCATCATATGTTCTACTTTACTTGCATCGGGAGTACAGTCAAAAATAACGGAATAATACTTGGCCTTTTGAACTTGCTCAATGATGTGGTGCTTTATGTTGTCATACAATAATTCAATTATTTCATTTTGTATAGTTTTCCCTAGATATGTAGCTTTGATTTCTTCTTTATTGAAGACTCTGCGAACGTTTCCTCCATTTTTGGATCAAACTCAGCCAATAACTGAATTAACTTCAAAAAGTTTCCATTATTATGTTCATATAGTTTATAGCTTGTTTCTCGAAAAGCTAGAGAGCTCTCACCTAGCATTTTAACGACTAATATAATGCGTAAAAGAACTTCAGACCAGTGATTTATCTCAGAATCAATGAGTCTCTGAGAAACTGCATCTATTGTTTCACCTATTTTCAATCTTTGCTTCAATTCAAGCCATGATTTCAAACAATTTATTATATTTAGATCTTAGTGTCTTGTTCTTTCCATCTATTCAGTTCTTAAAATCCATTTTTGGACATCCATCTTGATCAAGTTTTCTAAAGTCTCTTGCCCATCTCATTTGTGGTCTCTCCGTCTCTGTTTCTTGTATGTCCATGGTCTATAATGTAGAATTTTTTATTCGATATCTCAACTTTTTTGTATTGTAGCTATTCAGTTTTGTAGAATTCTGGGGTCACCCTATAAAATTCTTAATTCAAAACACACATTCGTTAAAGATAATAAACACTTATTAATTTATAATAAATGTATATACAGGCATATGTTAAATATTGTTAATTATTTATTGCATTCATAAACAAAACCTAAAAATAGCACAGTTTATCCAATGTAAAAATTAAATTATATTTAAACATTTTTTTTTAAATGGCAAAATGCTTTTAGGGCGTACCTATAGTGCATGTCCTTGGTTTTATTTTTTCCGCTATTTTTCAGTTTAATTATTTGTTTTGTTTATTTTTCTTAGTTTTTGATCGTGTGGGGAGATTCATTCTAATAATATTTGAAGTGAACTGAAATTGTTTATGTTTCTAAAGATATATCTTTAAATACTAGATTAATTTTTACTCTAGAAAGTTAATGAAATTTCTAATAATTCTAGACGCGATATTGCCCCATTTTTGCCTCATATCAAAATATCTTGAAAACTCTATGTTGAGAAATAATTTCAGTTCCCTCCTTTATCATTTTCAAATTATTTTTTGCTGTTTTTGACTATTATTAATATTATTAAGTAAATATATTTTTCTTACAGATGATACAAAGGATGATGGAGAAGAAAATATTCAATTAAGTGATGTCAGTAAGTTTTTTTTTTTTTCAATATTCTTATCACTGTTAGTCATAACAATGTTTCATCAACAAACCTATATAATTATATTTGTTTTAGAGTAAGAAATATAAAGACTAGAAATTAAAAATTGTTCACTTTTTTTTTCTGAATTTCTTTGTTTTTAACAATTTTTGTTTGCCACATTTTTTTAACCCAAATCCTTTATTATTTATACAGGATGATTCCTAATTTTTTTTTTAACTTTGTATAGAAATTATTAAATTAAACTTGCATTAATTTATTTCAAAATACGTTCAATACAGTCCAGCCCTACTTAAATAATGCAATAATTAACTGGTCCATAACGACACGTAATATAGAAATCGGTTTTCATCTCATTGTTGTTGCAGTCTGCTCTGTTCTTGCAATTAATTATTAATTAACTAAACTTTACAAGAAACCTTACAAGAAAAAATCACAAGGATTTAGGTCTGGTGATCTCGGTGGCTACAAACTGACAGATACACTTGTGCTTTACAAGTAAAACATATTAATACAGACCCGGATTTGAATTTTTTAATTCTGCATCTTTCTTATTTTTGAATTTTTTGAAAAAATTGATTTGAACATTATTTTATTTTAATGACTTATACATGGTTAAAAATAAGTAACAACTTAATAATCACACTGTATATTCAAAGTTTAAATGTTGTCTAATTTGTATGTTTATTATTTTGTCCATTCGTGTCACTCCTCTAATTCTTCTGGGATACTTATTTTCTTTAGTATGTCATTATGGGTATGGGTTATTGTGTCCCCTTTTATTGCTCACGCAGCAAAAATATAGTCTCGATGTCTATCTTTTCAAGAAAGTGTGGGATTTGGAGAGGTTTCTGCTTAGGTAGATTACCTCTTATATTTAGTATCCTCCTAATTTTAGTGCTCTTGAATTATGGATTCCTACACATTCAGTCAAAATATGAATGGAAGTTTCACTCTCCTCCTCACAGAATCTGCATATTTTCTGTATATAACTATATAACTGTAGATCTTTCTTGCTTTGGAAGTTCTCGAAAGAAATTTTGTTTGTTACAAATTTTTCATACCATATTGTCAGCTACTACTAAATATTATTCACACATATTTTTTTTTTGTTTTAATTATATTTTTACCTTTTTCATTGTTTGCATAAGATATTACCTACAGCAGAAAAAGTTATAGGATCTGTTTTATTTGTTTTAAGAGCAAGAAATATAAAAAAAATATGTAGAAATTGTTTAAGCAAATTCGTTTTAAAGAAAATGATACCACATTGTCCTATGGCATACTGTTGGACGGTGGTTGATCTTGATGTTGCACTTCGCTTAACCATGACTATTCTCTAGTCCAGCGTTTACATATTTGATATATTTTTAAGGATTCTGAAAAAAAATTGAGCTCAAATAGTTTTTGACACTCATGCGCCGATTTCTCCTAGACTAATGGTGCATTTAAAAATATAAGATTCTATTAAAAAAAAAAAATTGGCCTTAAAATGACCTTAAAGGTCATGGGCAAAAGAAAATCAAAGAACGGCATTTTGTAGACTTTAAGAATTTAAGTTACTTTTACTTCAAACTTTTTCTACTTAATTTATATAAAATAAATAGTTAGAACCTGAAACCTAAAATTTTAAATATGTTATAATAATAACAACAATAATAATAATAATAATAATAATTCTCTCCCTAATTCACCTCCTTACGAGTGAATTTTAATATATATTAATAATCAGAACCTTAATGGTAAGGTGCTGTTCTTAATTAGCTCATTCACGTTTATTTCTAGACTTTATCTGTACCTCCTACCAATTTAGTCCATATTCCTTCAGGATATCCGCTACTGCATTATCCCAGGTTTTTCTTGGTCGTTGTTTTCCACATGTTCTTGTTTGCCACATAGTTTTGACTTATTGTTTATTTTGCAAACGGTTTCTCATTTTAGCTCAGCTCTTATGTATTCATTTCGTATTTTGTCCCTTCCAGTGATCCCTACTTCGACTAAAACCCCTCGTTCATATCTGTGGTGTCCTCGTTCCACCCTGGGACCGGACCACCTTTCGGCATTTCTAAGGGCGGGGACGTGTTTTGGGTTTAGATATTATTCTATTTCGCCCTTTCCTTATATTCCTTCCATTTCCTGGAAGTCCGTTTCTTCCTCCTTTTCTTTTCATTAATTTCCTAATGTTTTCCGCTATTTTATTCCAATCCCACGAAAGGTCTAGTTCCCTAATAATTTCCTGTCATATCTCAACCTGACGCATGAGAAGACCTTGTGTTCTGGTGTGTCAGTCTCTCCCCAATACTTACAATTTGAGTCACTAGCTTTCCATAGCCTGTATGTGTAAGTTCTAAATGAGCCATTCCCACTTAGAAACTGCATTATGTAGTAGTCCATTCTTTTGTGTTTGCATTGTAGCCAGGGATATAATCTTGGAATCAGCGTCTTTGTCCATTGTTCCGTTACCTCTGTGTTCTCCCATTCTTCCTGCCACATGGCTATTGAGTTATTTTTTTCTGTCCTTTTGGTTATATCGTTCATTTCCTCACCTCTTTTTTTCCTCGAATGAAGCATCCAGTGATCTCTAATATCACTCTCAGATACTTTACTGAATTGTTTGTAGTCTTCTTTTTGTTTCTTGTTAGGACTCTCTCCCATATCTTTAACAATTCTTTCTTACCAATAAAGGTATTACTTAGTGCATGATATAGTTTGAGGTCACTTTCAATTAATCCATAAATCTCCGCGTTATTTCTTCTGTACATATATACTTTAACTCCCACATATTTAAATATATCCACTTGCTGTACTTCATGCGTAATGGTTTACTTACAACTCTTGTTACGTAATATACTATAGATTGCAGAAATTTTCGGCTCTTAGAAAATATGCAAGCTTCTGCTATACCCCTTAATACAATTCATCGATCTGCTTAATCATATTATGGACAGAATTAATGTTTTCCGCAGTGATTACAGAAGTTGGTCTTCCAGATCAGTGTTCATCTTTAACATCTGATCTTCCTTTTTAAATTTTGCAAACCACTTTTCAATAGTGCATATAGTTTCTGTCAGATAAAAACAAAGCAGTATTTACGCAATAATCCTTTTATAAATAACTATTTAATGACTGACCGAAACTCGCATTTTTCAAAATATTGTTTCAAAAACTCACATTTTTATTTATTTATTTAAAAATCTTTATTCATTTTTTTAATAACATATATATACATCGTCAGTCTAAAATATACACACACAATGCACTTGTACACAGTACATGGTGCAATTATGCGGCTCTACTAGTCGCCTACCAGAGCTATGGCGATTTAATCGCCTATAATACATCGCGATGTTCTTGCCATAAGGTTTTGCTATACAATAGCTGCCCTCACTCCTTGCCCTGAGGGTATTATTAAGGGATTTTGGTTAGTTTGTATGCTATGATATATTTGATAACAGTTTCTTTTGTCCGATAGGCATAGCCCAACTGTACAAGTGGAACAGTACCATTTGGTACGATGAGGTTCTAACTTGGTACTACAGTTGGCACATCGAACGCTAGTGCCATATTTTGGTAAATGAGCAGCTTTATCTGTTCTTATTTCATTGGTACACGTACTTTGAATGAATTTTCTGCAGTTTGACTTTTTCTTGTCTCCGACACATTGAGGTTAACTCCGATCAAACCTGTTACTACTGACAATTTGAACTCCTTCAGTGACATGACAGTACCATCAACATTTTCTTTTTAAATAATATAAGCATTGACTACTGTCAAATCAACGAAATGCCAAAAAATACGGTGCCACCATTTTTTTGACTTGCGATTAAGCTCATAGCATTTTTTTAGCATATCAGATTTATCAACATAACCCATATGTATGTTGTAATCTCTTACTAATTTTATACAACTGATTTCTTTTGAACTGCCATCTTTTTATATTTTATTTACGGCATCATCATCAGTTGGGTTATGAAAATTACTTAAAAATACAATTGGCTTGTTGTCCATCCACTAAACAGCTACTATCCCATTATCATTAATTCTCCAATCAGACTATCCTCTGATTATCTTTTTTTTGTTTGGTGAAGGACTGGGGAATATGTTTTCTGTCACTTCTTGCAGTTCCATACGCGTATATCTGATCTTGCAACAGATCAATTTGTAGGATTACACTGTTGAAGTAATTATCAAAATAGACTTGATGGTGCTTTCCTACCAAATCTCTTGTCAGATCTCTCACAACTCTTTTACCTAAGTCCTTTTCTCTCTTTAGATTATCAACTTTTCCAGTATATATTTGAAATTGCGAAATATATCCATTTTTGTTTGCTCGGACCCACATTTTATATCCTCGTTTTATGGTTTTTTTAGGCATGTATTGGCGTTAGTTACTTCTACCTTTGAATTTGATCATAGATTCATCTACGAACTGCTCTTCGCGTGGTAAGTAGCTATTTTTATAGGTGTCTGATAATTCTTCTAGCATCGGGCGTAATTTATAGAGTTTGTTATAATTTTGACTACCTTTTTAGGCTCTAAGGAATTGTCGTTGATGTGAAGGTTTGAAAGAAGCTACGAGAATCGGTCGCGGCCCATACAGGATGAAACAAAAGTATCACGTAGCTTTATTCTTGAGGACCAGTAATCTTTGTAACTTGGCAATTTTTTTATTCTCATCATCATATTTATTCCTAGATAGCACTTCAGTTCATTTACCGTTGTTGGTTTTTTTATATTATTTTTTTTTTCCTGGACAACATACAAGTTAGTCTCGAATTCAATTTTTTCTAACAGCTTCTGTGGAAATAAATGTGAAAAAAAATCTGCGGGAGTTTCCAAATCTGCTGGTACTGTTGGACCAGTGGTTTGTTGAAAAGGCAATTTCTTTGTTACTCTTTCAATACTCTGACTCCACTTTATCTCTATTGTTTTAATTTTCTGTTTCTTTTTTTTTTCGGTTCTCTCTGTTCACTTCGTTCTTGTTTCTCTTCTATAAGATCTTGCTCTTCTATACCATTTTCCTCTTCTACACTATCTTTCTCTTCCAAGTCTTCCAAATCTCCATCTTCTTCCAACCAATCTACATCGTTATCACAAAATTCAACATCAGATGGGTCAGAACCTTCTAAAGAAATATCATCTAATAAAGCATAAGCTTGATCGCTATTTATTTTATTGATCTTTAATTTTCCGACTCATTTTGAATATCTGAAACAAAGTGTTTCTTTAGCCCTAGTAGCCCTAGTGGTTTTATACGAAACCACCAATCAGAATATAAAAAAAGTATTAGAATTTCAAATAGAAATGGACATTTTCTTGAAAATCAGTAAATATGTATCAAAAACTAATAAACTATTGCCATCTTACCTGATTTTTTAAAAAGATTTCAACACAAAAAAAATTAAAAGGCGTGTAAACGAAATCGCCAAAAACGCCACTCTATATGCTCACACATCAGCGACTAAAAGCTGACTAAAATATACTTCGCGAATTTCTTGTTGAAGCCTGTCTAGTTGTGACTCATTTGTGTCGGTGGTTTGCGTAAATCGCGACTAGGAAGCAAGCTAAAAAATTTTAAAAAGGTGATTTCACAGTGGGACGACTAGGTCGCAAAGGGTTGTGTATTGATAATATTCATGCTGTGAAAAAGGACCAGCCGATATCAAAGGCACCGACAGTTTGTGTCGCTTCTCTTTGATCGATATTCTCGGGTTCAATATTCAACTCATGGATGTCAAACTCCGACAAATTATTTATAAAGCATCATAGTTGTTAGCACAGTAACCATATTCAATTTCCAGGTTTACTAGATACCAATATCCCATCGTACTATTAGCTGTGATTGAGTTGGGATGAATATCAGTTTTATTTTTTTGTTTACTTATTAGTATAATTTTTTTAGAAAATATATAGAATTTTCCTAGACTATGTTTACTAAGTAAATTAATTATAGTGCATGAGAATTCACATTTTAGTCAGAATAGTATATTGTGTCACAAGGGCAGAAAATGAGCTTTAGCTGCATGAGCGAGCGAAGCGAAGGCAGCTGATAGCTAAGCGCTGCTAGAGCATTTTCTGCATGTGTGACACACAATTTTATTTCGCCTACCAAAAAAAAAAAAACAAAGAAAAGTTCGTACCGTTCTCTTAACAGTAGGTATTAAATTTAGAGAAACTTTGTTGGCTTCCTCTTGCAAGCTTGGTGGAGTATTTGTAAATTCTTCGTCACTGTCTGAATGACTATTCATGTTCACTAATAGACTTACACTGACGTTTAATCAAAATTTATGTGAAACGTCAAAGTACGTAAGTGACAGTCAAAGGTATCTAGATATCTAGTGAAAAACTACAAAATCGGGCTGTTATGAGTTTAGCAGCCCTTGAGACGATATACGTTACTTTCGGTCATATTTTTAGGGTTGATATGATTCATTTTCACATATGGTAAGCGAAAAAACATATCATCAACTTTGTTTTTTTTTTTTCAGTTGAAGTTATTGAGACTGATCCAGACTTTATAGAATCAAACGTGCTCTCACCAAATCCCAACATGTTAAACGGAGGTACAATGGAGATTTCTCCAGCTTTGCATCAATCCACGAGTCAAGCATCGCCGTTGGCAGCAAAAAAGTAAGAATTTTTTTTACCTCTTTTCCGTAAATTTTGAATTCAGTCAACTACATTCCTATATTTTTTCAGGCAGGCCCGGATTAGGATAGTTGAACAACCCGCGTCGAAAGCCTTACGGTTTCGATATGAGTGTGAAGGAAGGTCCGCAGGGTCTATCCCTGGATCCAGAAGTACTCCAGAAAATAAATCATACCCCTCCATAAGGGTGGAGGGTTATCAAGGTAGAGCTGTAGTGGTAGTGTCGTGTGTTACCAGGGATGCGCCGTATAAGTAAGTAAACATTTGCATTATGTTTTTTTTGTTTCATGTTATATTTTTGCTTTTAAGTTGGCAAGCTTACCAGAGTAGTTTTGTTTGGCTAACTTATTTTGTTTGGTACGTTTTACGTGTTGTAAATAAAATATAAAATTTGAAATGTTGAATAAAGTATGGAATTTATGGAACATTCAGACATTGACATTTATTTGTTGTTTGGTCTAATCGTTGCAATTCTTGTAATACACACATTCAATTTTAAATAGACATTCTCAGACAGATCAGTTCTGAAAAATATCTCTTAATGATCTTGGAGCTATGAGACGAATAATTATTATCATATTTTGCATAAAAATTATATCGATAAAAACGTGTAATGGTAAATATTTAGAAGAGAAGAAATTAGTCCAGTCATAATTTTTCTGTGGCTTTTAAGACATTCTTTTTTCCGAAAAAAAGTATAATAAAAAAACAGTTACAAAAGTGATTTTGATTTACAAAAAGAAATATTAGTAAGAAGAACAAAAGGCAGAGTATGGGGTTCTGTAAGAAAATTAGCACGTAAATTCCGTACTTCAAAGAGTACAGTATCGTGTGTGAATTAACAATAAATGGTCAAAAATGTATAAAAAAATGAAAGTGTCTTAAATATACTCCAAATCAATACCAAGATGATGTCATCCACTAAGGCGGATACATTTTTTAAATGAGCGAGTCATTGTTATGGACGATGAAAAATACTTTACATATACCAACTCAGAAATCAAAAGACGCGATGGTTTTTATGCGGACAAAATAGAAGAGTATCCAAACAATGTATAATACAGGGTGCTGACTAACTCTTTAGGACTAATACTAAGTTAAAAAATAATGAAAACACAATAATAAGAGTGATTCAACCCTTCGAAGGGTGTTGAAGTTTACCATTTTTTCAACAATAACTCAAAAATTTACTAACCAATTTAAAAAAAAATTGAGAGAATATTAAGAGTATCATTTAAGTGACTTTCCAAAAATTTCTGTCTGTGAAGGGATAAATAAAGGTTGAGGAGTGATTTTCCTCCCTTTTTTATTTTTTGAAAACAAAATTGAAATTATGATTTTTCAGTTAATTTTACATTAAAAGGGCTCTTTTAGTCAAATGTCCAAAAAACGAACCGTTTAGTCAGAATTTGCGTTTAGTTTCAAATTACTTGACTCTTTAAAGTAAGTCAAATTCGGGAAAAACATTTATTAAAAGAAAAAACGAAAAGCAATATTTTAGAACAATAAATAAATCTAAAATAATGTTTAAAATTTTGACTAATATTTATTCTTTAAAGTAGTTTCGGATTATTTTGTAGCTCATTATTATTTAGTAGTCCATTATTAATTAGTATTTATCAGTGGAGGCTCGTGGTAATTTAAAATGGGTGTTCACTTTTTCCAATAATTTTATCATTTGTAAGTTCGGATCAAAACTTTGTACAAGAGTCAATATCGCTGTTTTTTTTTGTTATTTGAGTTTGTATTAAGTGTAGTTATTATTATCAACATCATACTGTTTTCAAGCACTACAACTATTAATAAATGAATATTTTAGTTAGTATAATATTTGTTTTGTTTTTAATACGTTAAAAACCATCTATAAACATTATTATTTAGTAAACTGACTTTCCTTCATAATTTGAGATTATTTTTAAATATATATCAGGTTATGTAGAAAGCTTGACATTGGTTTTTATGTAAAAAAAATGTATATGAAACTTTACCTACCATTTTTTAGTTTTTATTGTAAGTTTAATCATTTTCACAATTTGTCACAGATGTCAAATAAAAAATATATTTTTTATATACCTTTTATTGGCAAATAAAATAAAAACTAAAATGTTTTAAATGTTTATTTTATAGGATCAGTCCCATCACAATACATAATACTACACAGACACAAACTAGAATAAAGATATATAATGCCTGGCATTCTAAATGATACTCTTTGCAGTTTAACAGAGCCCCTTAACCCCCATTTTCAACCAGATTGTTTTCACAATCAATAGACCTCAACTCCTTATAGAGTTTGATTTTTACTAAAAATTTCATTTTTGATTTTTTTTTATTTTCAACCCCCCTTAAATCACCCATATTTAATCAGATTTTTTTTTATAATTAAAGGGCTTCTTCTCCATTTAGAGATTGATGTTTGCTAAAATTTCAAGTTTATATCATTTTTCGTTTTTCAGTTAGGATTTTTTTTATATTTTAACCTCCCTTAACTCCCCAATCTATTTATATTTTTTTCAGTATCAATAGGCTTTATCTTCTTATAAAGCTTCATTTTTACTAAAAATTTCATGTTGATATCGCTTCTCGTTATTAATTTAGGATTTTTTTTAATTTCAACCCATCTTAACCTCCATTTTTAATCAGATTTGTTAAAAATCAATAGGCTTTGTCCCCTTATAGAGCTTGAGTTTTGCTTAAAATTTTCAAGTTGATATCATTTCTCATTTTTGACTTATAGTGCAGACAAAAAACGTGACATCGGACAGGCAGACAAAGTAAATCTATAATACTATTCACAGAATAATGTATGAAGAGTAGAAAAAAAATGTATGAGGTAAAATAAACAATTTAAAAAGGTCAACAATAATATTCAACTTCTTTTATCAAAGGATACTAAAAGTTTGAAATAGCAGCTCAGAACACAGAAATCTGTGAACTAAACTAGTGAGATACATATCGTAAAATGTTACCACACTTAATTCTCCATTTGACCCTTTCTAAGTGTATTTCACAGCACATTCCAAAGTATTCTTGCTCTCACTAATGTTCTACAATCATGGCTGCTTTCGTATGTCCAAGTTTACTAAAAAATAATGTGTTTTAATAAATAATAAAATAAATAGTAATTTTGTTTAAATAGATAAATCGGCTTCATCTGTATTTTCAAATTATTGTTTAATTGTAAATAGTATACTAATTTGACAACTTTCATATTAAAATGTTTAAACCCACTTTATTAGTTATGAGCTCATTCGTTTTTCCTCTCTATTTTTAGACCTTACCTGATGATGAGGATCTGATCCTCGAAACCGGTCGTAATAAAATACTCTTGTGAGATCCTAAGGACCACCCTCGTTTGATTTACCTTTTTGAGTATACTAATATTCTAATATGTACTTATAGGATTGATTTGCCAGATCATGTAGATATGTGGAATGTGACTTGTTGAGTGCCTAATTAAAATCACAATTTATGTTTGATACTTATTTCGAGACTTTTTTCGAGACATTCTTTATTACCAACTGTAAACTAATTTACCAATAGCCTTATTTTTATTTAATACCTGTAGGATTCAAATTACCATAACATCTAATATTTTTGAAAATACTAAATTATACAAACAAGGCAATAAAAAAATGTCATTAAAATAAAAGATTTCTGGTTTGTATGCAACAAACGATTTTGGTTAGAGGGTAACACGATTCATAATTGCAGGCAAACATAACTTTATATAGGTAAACTATTTAAATGTACATACCATTTCTTAGGTAAAATATTAAATTAACTGGTTGATCCATTTTTCCGATTCAGACTTTTAAATTGAAAAACCATTTGTCTCTTTATCTTTATCAAATTTGTATTATACATTTCCATTTCCATAATGATGTCAAGTAGTTACCTCATCAGAATAATAAAATTTTTCCTATTAGTGGGTTTTGTGGGAAAAAAAATTTACAAATTTTTTGCTTACTGCTTATTTACAATTGGGTACAAAATAGACCATTTTGAATTAGTCTTAGGCACTGAAACAAAATATAAATAAAAAAAAAATTACAGTCGTAAAACTTTATTAAAGGTAAACAATATAACCTTAAAAAGTTTTTATTTACCTTGCCTTAAAGAAATTTTTCGGTAACAATCGTTAAATTGACATACATCCTTTCAATTTATTAAAGTTGTAGTTCTCAATTAAACACATTTTTTTAAATGATCACAATAAAATAATCTTACTTTTATTAAAACCGTTTTATAATGACGGAAAACGAAATGACAGTTTGTTTTATTTGGTACAGTATTGTTAAAATATGTTTTTGTTATGTACCAGATTTGTCTAAAAAATGTACCAGATTCCTTAAATGTATCAAATTTTTCGAATTCTTTTTGTAGTTATATATTATTCATTGAAGGGGAAAAAAGGGGGTCTTTATTGATAACGAACTCAAACAAAGAACACAATATATATATTTTACATGTGAACACGCAGAATGTACTACATCTAGTACAATTGTGAATTGTACTAGACTGGCAACACTGGTTTGGCAACCTTGTTTGTGAGCGGCGCCCCAATTAATGTGTTCTTTGTACAGTTTGAAGAATCTGTTGGCGTGTTTTTTCTCTTTTTAGCTATATGCATTTACCATATCGTCTCACTCGTGTTAGGCTTACTTATCATAATGCACCACAGACACAGGATACTTATGTATACTGTGCCACAGAGATGCGATCAGCCAGAGGACAATGGTATACCAAAAAATATAGATTAACACGTATGAAAATAAAAATATTTAAAATTAAATTTACATTTTTGTTATTTATGTAATTTTAAAATAATGTGTTTTTATGAAATTTACCTGGGTGTTCACTGCACAAATGAACCAATGGAGAAACCGCCCCTGGTATTTATTATCTTTCCCTTAATACTTCTAATATATCCACTTATGTAGCAAAATTTTTGTTAGTTTCATAACAGGAAATCTAAAAGTGTCAGGTCAGGTGAGTCTCCGTGCCTCGTCCAATCCAACGTCTTGGAAAATTTTCTCTCAACCTCTGGCTAGGTAAAAGATTGAAATGTGGCGGAGATCCATTGTCCATAAAATACATTTTATTTCTTATGTTCAAAGGAATGACTTCTAATATTTCAAAAAGGTCTATCAGATAGAAAATTGTAATACATACATACAGTTGGATTTTGTGGAAAAATATGGTATCTAATGTATTTGTCTTTCATTCACATTTATTTTAAACTAGTGCTG